TCTGAGTTCTCCGACTCTTATCTTGTTTAGACAAGGTCATAGTCAAAGTGGAGGTTCTCTCCTCCCTTCAGAGAAAGGTACCTCCTTCTTTGAAGACCTGTTCTTTCCACTGGGATCTCACTCGCAGAGATCTTTTGCCAGAGTGTCTTGGCTTTCCATGCCTGAAATACTCTCATGGGCTTTTCAGCAAGCTCCGAATGCCTTTAGGGCTGATTCTGAGGCCAGAGTGCTATTTAGGACATCTGCCATTCTATGAGTCTGCTGAGTATCTCACTTCCCATGTTGGATCACTCTCCCCTTTATTTACTCCATCGGTTAGCGTTAACAGGTACTAGACTTGTCTATGTGCTCCCTTTGACTCCCAGTCCCTCCACCATGACCAACTGTGGACCGAAATTGATCACCTGGAACAGTGAGATGGCATTGGTACATGCCACCTCGATGGAATTGAATTGGAATCCCCTGGTATGCTTCCAACTCCACCACTTGGGGCAAGTCAGCCTGAGCATGTCCCAAATTATACATCTCTTCCCTCTCCCATTCCAACTCCCATGTTCAACAGGGATCACATTTCAGTTAATTTTCAACACTTAAGAATAACTGTGCATCAATTACAGAACTAAACCAGTCATATTAAGTAGAACAGATAAAAAAAAACTACTAAGAGGGATAATGTATTAAGTTGTTCATTAACAGTCAGGGCTATGCTGATCAAGCCACCATTTCCCATAGTGTCCACCTCACTCCAACAGGTTTCCCTCTTGGTGTTCAGTCAGTCATCACCGATCAGGGAGAACATATGGTATTTGTCCCTTTGGTACTGGCTTATTTCACTCAGCATGATGTGTTCCAGATTCCTCCATTTTGTTGCAAATGACTGGATTTCGTTGTTTCTTACTGCGGTATAGTATTCTAAAGAGTACATATCCCATAATTTCTTTATCCAGTCTATCGTTGATGGGCATTTAGGTTGGTTCCAGGTCTTAACTATTGTGAATTGAGCTGCAATAAACATTAGGGTGCAGACCTCTTTTTTGTTTGCCAATTTAAATTCCTTTGGGTAAATTCCAAGGAGTGGGATGGCTGGGTCGAATGGTAGGGTTATCTTCAGGTTTCTGAGGAATCTCCAGACTGACTTCCATAGTGGCTTGACCAGTTTGCATTCCCACCAACAGTGGGTTAGTGTCCCTTTTTCCCCACATCCTCGCCAGCATCTGTTGTTGGTAGATTTCTGCATGTGAGCCATTCTAACCGGGGTGAGGTGAAACCTCATTGTGGCTTTGATTTGCATTTCCCTGATTGCTAATGACCTTGAACATTTTTCATGTGCCTGTTGGCCATTTGGATTTCCTCTTTTGAAAAATGTCTATTGAGGTCCTTGGCCCATCTCTTAAGTGGGTTGTTGGTTTTGTTTTTGTGGAGTTTCTTGATCTCTTTGTAGATTCTGGTTATTAACCCTTTATCTGTTGCATAGTTTGCAAATATTTTTTCCCATTCTATCGGTTGTCTCTTCACTCTCCTGACTGTTTCTTTTGCAGTACAGAAACTTCTCAATTTGATGCAATCCCAATAGTTGATTTTGGCTTTGACTGCCTGTGCCTCCCGGGTCTTTTCCAGAAATTCTTTGCCTGTGCCAATATCTTGAAGGGTTTCTCCAATGTTCTCTAGTAACTTGATGGTTTCAGGTCGTAGATTTAGGTCTTTAATCCATGTTGAGTGGATTTTTTGTGTAAGGTGTAAGGTAGGGGTCTTGCTTCATGATTCTGCACGTGGAAATCCAATTTTCCCAGCACCATTTATTGAATAGACTGTCCTTGCTCCAGGAATTAGTTTTAGATCCTTGATCAAATATAAGTTGGCTGTAGATGTTTGGATTGATTCTGGTGTTTCAATTCTGTTCCATTGGTCTATCCGTCTGTTTCTGTACCAGTACCATGCTGTTTTGATTACAACTGCCCTGTAGTATGTCCTGAAATCTGGTATTGTGATGCCTCCGGCTTTGTTTTTGTTGTACAAGATTGCTTTAGCTATTCGAGGTCTCTGTGCCTCCATAAAAATTTCAGCACCAATTTTTCCAGATCTGAGAAGAAGGTCTTCGGTATCTTGATTGGTATTGCATTGAATCTGTAAATTGCTTTTGGGAGAATGGACATTTTGATGATAATTGATTCTTCCAATCCATGAGCATGGAAGATTTTTCCATTTCTTGGTATCCTCTTCTATTTCTTTCTTTAAGGTTTTGTAATTTTCATCGTAGAGATCTTTAACATCCTTGGTTAAGTTTATTCCAAGGTATTTGATTGTTTTTGTAGCTATTGTGAATGGGATTGATCTTAGAAGTTCTTCCTCAGCCATGGCATTGTCTGTGTATACAAAGGCTGTTGATTTTTGTGCATTGATTTTATACCCTGCTACTTTGCCAAACTCTTCTATGAGTTCCAATAGTCTCTTAGTAGAGTTCTTTGGGTCCCCTAAATACAGAATCATGTCATCTGCAAAGAGGGATAGTTTGAGTTCTTCCTTCCCAATTTGTATCCCTTTAATTTCTTTTTCTTGCCTAATAGCTCTGGCTAGAACCTCCAGAACTATATTGAATAGCAGTGGTGAGAGTGGGGCGTCCCTGTCTGGTACCAGATCTCAGTGGAAATGCTTCCAACTTTCCCCCATTCAATAGGATGTTGGCTGTGGGTTTTTCATAGATTGCTTTGATTGTATTGAGGAATGTTCCTTCCAAACCCAGTTTGCTTAGAGTTGTCATCATGAATGGGTGTTGTATTTTATCAAATGCTTTCTCGGCATCTATTGAGATAATCATATGGTTTTTCTTCTGCAGTCTGTTAATGTGGTGTATCACATTGATTGTCTTGCGCACATTAAACCATCCCTGCATACCAGGGATAAATCCCACTTGGTCTGGGTGGATGATCTTTCTGATGTGTTGTTGCATTCTATTGGCGAGAATTTTATTGAGGATTTTTGCATCTATGTTCAACAGGGATATTGGTCTGTAATTCTCTTTCAGTGCTGCATCTTTCTTTGGCTTAGGAATTAAGGTGATGCTGGCTTCATAGAAAGAATTTGGAAGGAATCCCTCTTCTTCGATTGTTCTGAATAGTTTGAGAAGAATTGGAGTTACTTCTTCTTTAAACGTCTGGTAGAATTCAGCAGTGAATCCATCTGGTCCTGGGCTTTTCTTTGTTGGGAGGGCCTTTATTACTGTTTCAATTTCTGTCTCAGTTATGGGTCTGTTTAGGTTTTCGATGTCTTCCTGGTTCAATTTAGGCAGGTTGCATGTGTCCAGGAATCTATCCATTTCTGATAGGTTTCCTGTTTGCTGGCATACAAGTCCTTGTAGTAATTTCTGATGATTCTTTTTATTTCTGTGGTGTCTGTTGTTACATTCCTTTTTCATCTCTGATTTTATTGATTTGGGTCTTTTCTCTTCTTTTTTTAGTTAGTTGGGCCAATGGGGTGTCAATTTTGTTTATTTTTTTCAAAAAACCAGCTCTTCGTTTGGCTGATTTTTTGTAATGTTTTCTTGATTCAATCCTGTTGATTTCTTCTCTGATTTTAATTATTTCTCTTCTCCTACTAGATTTGGGTCTGGTTTGCTGTAGGTTTTCTAGATCTTTGAGATGAATTGAAAGCTCATCTATTTGGTGCCTTTCCAATTTCTTGATGTAGGCACCTATTGATATAAACTTTCCTCTTAACACTGCTTTTGCTGCGTCCCATAAGTTTTGGTATGTTGTGCTGTTATCCTCATTTACTTCCAGAAAGTTTTTGATTTCTCTTTTGATTTCTTCTATGACCATTGTTCATTCAGGAGCATGTTGTTCAATCTCCATGTGTTTGCATATGCTCTAGGGATTCCTGAGTTGCTAATTTCCAACTTCATTCCTTTATGGTCTGAGAAGCTGCATGGTATGATTCTAATTCTTTTGAATTTGCTGAGACTTGCTTTATGGCCTAGTATGTGGTCAATCCTAGAGAAGGTTCCATGTACTGCTGAGAAGAATGCAAAATATTTAGCTGTAGGATTGAAAGTTCTGTATATATCTGTTAGATCCATTTGGGCTATAGTGTCATTTAAATCTACTGTATCCTTGTTGATCTTCTGACCGGATGATCTGTCTATTTCTGAGAGTGGAGTATTGAAGTCCCGCAGTACTACTGTATTGGGGTCTAAGTCTCCCTTTAAGTCCGTTAATAAATCTTTTAGATAAACTGGTGCCCTGTAGTTAGGTGCATATACATTGATAATTGTTATATCTTCCTGTTGAATTGATCCCTTAATCATGATATAGTGTCCCTCTTTGTCTCTCTTAACAGTTTTTGTGGTAAAGTTTATGTTGTCTGATATTAAGATGGCTACGCCCGCTCTTTTTTCATTTCTGTTGGCATGGTATATCTTTTTCCAGCCTTTCACTTTCAGTCTGTATGGATCTTTGTTGGAAAGATGTGTTTCTTGTAAGCAGCAAATAGATGGGTTTTGTTCCTTAACCCAATCAGCCAATCGGTTGTCTTTTAACTGGACAGTTCAGACCATTCACGTTCAAAGTGACTAATGATAAGTGGTAACTTTGCCCTGCCATTTGCCAAAGATAAGTTCTAATATATGCTTTGAATTCCCTGTGATCTTTTGCTGTGAGGGTTTCCTTCCTTGGTTTCCTTCCTTTACCTTCTTTCATATTGATGACCGTGTTTCTTTGTTTCTGTGTGTAACACATCTTTAAGCATCTTTTGCAGGGCTGGACGAGTGGCAACAAATTCTTTCAATTTGCTATGAAAAGTCTTTATTTCACCTTCATTCACAAATGATAGCTTTGCAGGATATAATATCCTGGGCTGGCAGTTGTTCTCTCTTAGTACCTGGGCTATATCTCGCCATTCCCTCCTAGCTTGTAGAGTTTCTGATGAGAAGTCAGCTGTGAGTCTGATTGGAGATCCTCTGAGAGTAATCTGACGTTTCTCTCTTGCACATTTTAGGATCTTTTCTTTATGTTTCACTGTGGAGAGTTAATTACAACGTGTTGTGGTGAGGATCTCTTTTGGTTGTGTTTATTAGGGGTTCTGTGAGCTTCCTGTACTAGGATTTCTCTGTCCTTCTCCAAACCTGGGAAATTTTCTGCTAATATCTCACTAAAAAGGCCTTCTAATCCTTTCTCCCTCTCCATGCCTTCAGGAACTCCTAGAACCCGAATGTTTGGTTTTTAATAGTATCCTGAAGATTCCCAACAATATGTTTTAGATTTCTAATTTCCTCTTCTTTTCTTTGGTCTGACTGTATCCTTTCCTGTTCTCTGTCTTCTAAGTCTGATATTCTCTCTTCTGCTTCACCCATTCTGTTTGTAAGGCTCTCTATTGTGTTTTTCATTTGATCTATTGAATTCTTCACTTCAGTCACTATCACAGTTTCCTGTTGTACTAGTTGTTTCGTTTCATTTTGATTCCTCCTTAATATTTCATTTTCACGAGAGAGATTTTCTATCTTGTCCATTAAGGATTTGTGTAGTTCCAGAATTTGTTTTTGAGAACTTCTTAATGTTCTTATCAATTTTTTGAGATCTGCTTCTTGCATTTCTTCTATGTCATCATCTTCATAATCTTGAATTTGGGTGTCTTTTTCATTTGAGGGCGTCATGGTGACTTCCTTGTTTTTATTACCTTGGTTTTTGCATTTGTTATTTGGCATATTGGAGATATTTGGTTTCTTCACTGTGGTGCTTTTTCTTGTTATACTATGACTCTAGATTAAGTGGACTATCTGTTTTTGATGGAGCCTTAGGGCTTGAGATGGGTGTGGCCTGGAGAGCTCTGTTTGGTGTGCCAAAGGTGACACTCCCAGGTTAGGCGTGGTAAATCTCTCTCTCTCTCTTTCTTTTCTTTTTTTTTTTTTTTTTGATTCAAAAGGGAAGTTATTCTGCACAGCTGAACGAAGTTGGAGGTAGTTAGCAGGCAAATGATATACCCACAGGAGCCAGAGATCGGAAGCTCTTTCCCAAGAACCCCACAGGGAATCTGTTTGGCCCTCAGAGTGGGCTCAAATTCTCCTTCAGCCTCCCACTGGGTTGCCAAAGTTACAGAATTGTAGCGTCTCTGGAGAGTGCTCACGTGAATTCCGTGAGTTCTCTCCCCCACCGTCTCTTTTTTCACAGTCTCAGTTCAGTAGCACCACAAATTTATTAGGTCCTAATCTCCTGTTAATTCGCCCCGCCCAGAGTCAGGTTTTTCTGCTAGGCTCAGGGCCGGTGCAGACCTGAGGTCGCTCTGCTTATGACGTATGTCCAAGATGGCACCTGCTCTTTGTCTTGCTTGCCCTTGAGAGGTGAGCGGAGAGAGAGAAACCCGTGTCCGTACCAGTCACCTTTTTTTTTTCCCCTCTCTCTCTCTTCCAGTTAGCTTGGTGAAGTCCCCCCCCCGGGGGTCGTTCCCTCTAGTCTCCTCTCTCCGCTTGCCTGCCGGTGTCTCGGGTTATTGAGGTTCGGCTCACCTCGCGTTCCAGCGCTGGTGTGTTGAGTCTGCCGCTGGTGTCCCGAACTGTGGGCTCCCACGCTCTCCACGCAGGTCTGTTCCCCTTCCAGCGCCGATGTGTGGACTCGGAGCCCTGGACGTCCCAAGTCTCCCCGCTGTTGCACTCCCCTTCGAGCACTTGCGCGCAGACCCTGCAGCTTGCGCAGCTCAGTCCCGCGCTCCGCTTCTGCAGCTCGGTCCCGCGGCTCGGTCCTGCGGCTCGGCTTTCGCGCGCGGTGGGCGACCTTGTTCTCCCAGTAGGTCCTCCGATTTACGCCCACTGGATCCAGAAGAGTTTTGTCTGCAATATTTTCCTGGTTCTTTTTATTGAGGCTACCGTAACTCCCCTTTTATTAAACTAAATTTTCCCGGACTATCGGTGCGCGCCCTCACTATTCCGCCATCTTGGCTCCGCCTCCCCACAGGTGTAATTTTCAGACACCTGACAATAGCCAACTCCTTGGTCATCCTCTCTAAAGGAGTACTCCAAACAATGGCAGCTTTTGGGATGAATTTTTCCCTCAGTGATGTTGAGTGCAAACTTGTTTTCTATGTCCACAGAGTGGGCAGGGGTGTCTCCATCAACACCACCTCCCTTTTGAGTGTCTTCCAGGTGATCATAATCAATCCCAGGAACTCCAGGTATGCAGAGTTTAAAGCAAAAGCTCTGAAGTACATGGACCTCTCCAATATCCTCTGCTGGATCCTGCACATGATGCTAAATATTATGGTGCCGATGAAAATGACTGGTCAATGGAGCAATAAAAACATCACAAGGAGAGATTATGGATTCTGTTATGCTGAAGATCATAACAATGTCATAGAATACTTACTGTATACAATTTTGTTATTATTTCCTGATGTTTTCTGCCTGGTGCTTATGTTGTGGGCCAGTAGCTCCATGATATTTATCTTGCACAGGCACAGACAGCAGGTCCAACACATTCACAGGACCAGTGTTTCATGCAAATCAGCTCCTGAGACCAGAGCCACTCAAAACACCCTCGTTCTGGTGAGCACTTTTGTGTCTTTTACACTCTTTCCTCCTGGCTTTGGATGGATGGGCACAGCTCTGGAAGATGTGGCCATATGGGGAGTGAACCAGAAGATGAAAGACCTCTCTCTCTCTCTATATATATATATATATATCATATATCATATGTCTTATATCATATATCCCCGCCTGTACCTCTCTGTAACTCTGTTTTTCAAATAAATCTTTTTTAAAAATTTTAAAAATGAGCTATGTATCATGTAATTCCCTTTATATGACAGTGTACTCAAAGAACTGAACAAAAGGTATGAATTTTTGCTTTCTATAAATTATATCCCAACAAAACATACTTAAACAAAACTTGATTTGTCATGTAATAAATATACGTAACACTTCTATAATAAATATAATTCATAGAATTAATGACATAGAACCAGGACAACTATGGTTTTCCACAACTAAAGTAAACAATCTCTTCTTTAATGGACATTTGCACATCCCAGTTCATCACATTTAAAATACTATTATTTATTTATTTATTTTTAACTTTTATTTAGTGGTATAAATCTCCAAAGTACAGCTTATGGATTACAATGGCTCCCCCCCATATCTTCCCTCCAACCCACAACCCTCCCCTTTCCCTCTCCCTCCCCCCTTCCATTCACATCAAGATTCACTTTCAATTCTCTTTATACACAGAAGATAAGTTTAGCATATATTAAGTAAAGATTTGAACAGTTTGTACCCACATAGAAACACAAAGTGAAAAATACTGTTTGAGTACTAGTTATAGCCTTAAATCACAATGTACAGCACATTAAGGACAGAGATCCTACATGAGGCGTAAGTGCATAGTGACTCCTGTTGTTGACGTAACAAATTGACACTCTTGTTTATGGCATCAGTAATCACCCTAGGCTCTTGTCATGAGTCGCCAAGGCTATGGAAGCCTTTTGAGTTCACCAACTCTGATCATATGTAGACAAGGTCGTAGTCAGAGTGGAAGTTCTCTCCTCCGTTCAGAGAAAGGTACCTCCTTCTTTGATGACCTGTTCTTTTTACTGGGCTCTCACTCGCGGAGATCTTTCGTGTAGGGTGGTTGGTTTTTTTTAATTTTTTTTTTGCCAGAGTGTTTTGCCTTTCCATGCCTGTGATACTCTCATGGGCTTTTTTTAAAAAATACTATTGTTTATAAGACATATTTTGTTTCCTTCTGTCACTCAAGATCCAGTGAGGGAAATAAAATACACTCTGGGTGTCACTCAAAGGGAAAGTTGAGGCAAGAAGAGATTGATTAGGCTGGAAGCTGTTCTCAGCCCCAGGGCTGGAAGGTGGTAGGGCAGGCGGTGGAGTCCCTGGAGCCCACAGCCAGGGTCACCAGCAGGAGTTAAGAGAGAGCCCCACAGAGAGGGCACCTGAGGCCCAGCAGCAGAGGGACAGCATCCTGGCCTTTTCTCTGCCCTTGTGGTCTCTGTCAGTGCCTCCCAGTGCTTGAACCTATGCAGAGGCCAGCAGGCTGGGAGACTGAAGGATACCCAAACCTGTGTTCCTAGCACAGCAGGTTACAGGCAGTGATGGGCCTGCCAGCTCTCAGGCAAATGAAGGCCAGAGAGTCTAAGTGGATAAAACTGCTGTCAATGGAAGCATCCAGATGGACAGTTTTCATTTTCTAGTAAATGAAAATAATCAATGTTCAATAAATCACAAGGATGCGGTGTAGTGATGTCGCTCATCGGAGTGAAAAAGATGAAAATTTCTCAACACAGAGTCCTCGAGGGATGAGGCATGGGAGTGTGAAGAGCTCCTGTCTTTTCAGACTCCAAGGGAAAGGATATAAATATATGTAAATTTGACTGTGCCCTAGAGTAAGACACACGTGTGAGCAATTCAAACCCAGTATTCTGATCTTGAAGAAATACACGACTGTCACCAGACATTCAAAAGACTTCAAAGGTCTGACTTAGAATTTAGTATTTGCTTATTATCTTAATGTTATTCCTCAAGGAAATCCACAGTTCACCACTCTGAGTATATTTTCAACGGTCTTTTTTCTATGATTTTCCCAGATTCTGTGATTTTTTTTTAAGCACAAGGTTTTTGAAATCTACACAGCTCCTCTGAAAGAATCTGAGGAATGGTGTGAAGTTAGTCCACTCCAACAGCTGTGTCCTCTGCTGAGTAGGGTCCAGGTGCCCTGGTTTAGTGTCATCCTAACCCAAGCATGCTCTAACTATCTCCCCTCTGGAGAAGGTACTTCCTTTCCACGGATGAGGAGGTCTTGTTCATCTTGGTCTGGGTGCTGGGAACTGGGTAGTGGGGTTGGGAGGAGCTAGCCTTTAGCAGGGAAGACATGCCTGCTTGTGTGGCCATGGGTAGAAGGTCTGCACTGCGGGGCACAGAGATCTCAGAGCTGTGCTAGTGTCAACAGCTGCTCCCAGGTCAGAGGGAATGTGCCTGCTCACTCCATACCTGGGCCAGGTCCTGAGAAAAGGCCTTGGACTAAGTATACAGGGAGGGTGTGGACTTTTCCAACGGGGCAGTGGCTGCCTCTTAGGAACTCCAACTGGGGCACCTGCTACCCTCAGTAGCAACCTTGGGGCCCCTCTGGAAGTCACTTTCCTTTCTCCTTTCCTCACTTCCCACCACACTAAGTACCATCAGGAGTACCTACAAAAGGAGCCTGTGGATGAAAGACTGTCCTGACTACTTCCAATGGGCCCCACATTCCCTAGACCCCACCAATGCCTTCTTCTGAAGCCCACCTGTCTGCCCCTCCTTTCTGTCTGCCTCACTGTCCAGCATAAGGTCCTGCTCTGGGTCACCAAATAGTACCTGGATTCTGGCATGTCCAAACCCCTCTCTGCCACTGAGCACCTCCTTCCCTACCTCCACCTTGTAAGAAACTCCTGCTTACCTGCCTAGCCCCTTCAACATGGCAGATCATACCTGCTGAGCTGCAGCAGCTGACCTGGGGCTGACTTCTGTCTTCCTAGAGCTGGGGTCTGATTCTGTAAAAGAAGGCAATGTTGAAGTGGGTCAGAATCTCCAAGGCCCTGGCTACCACTGAACTCCCAGCTCCTGGTGAGGGGAGATGGAGCTGCCCTATCTACTGTCCTTCATGGCAGAAAAGCAAAGTCTTCCCCAACCCGGGGATGCAGGTGTTCTCATTTCTGATCTTAGTCACCTTAAATTTCTCCTCATTTGAGCTCTGCTCCTACCTTGTGGAGAAGCAATTTGGGTAGCCCCTCCTACTAAAAGGGACCCTAGTCTATTCCACATATCCCAGGAGCCAAGGTTGCCCTCAAATCTAGGTACCCAGCTGCTCCCCTAAACCTAAGAGCTACAGATCCTTGGGTGCCAATGAACTCCCTCTTCCCTGTCCAGGGCTGAGTTACCTAAGACCACATCCTTTCTATTGCACAAGAATAAAGACACCTGGTTTACAGACACCCCTGCCTCTGGTTCTGACCCTGTGGATAAAGACAGAATTTAGGTGACTTGTCCACCCCTGCCCCATATTTGAAGGCCACTCTCTCAACAGAAGCAGGTCTGCCTAATTCCAGGCTGAATGGGAGGAATCAAACATGTAGCTATCTTTTTAGGTGGTTTTAATAACCCCCCTGGTTTCCTGTTTTTTTTTTTCTTTTATTTTTAAAGATTTATTAATTTGAAAGGTAGAGTTACAGAGAGAGGTAGAGACTGAGAGAGACACAGAGGGCTTCCATCCACGGATTCACTCCCCAAATGGCTGCAAACACCGTGGTTGGGCCTGGCTGAAGCCATGAGCCTGAAACTCCATCCAAGTATTCCACATGGGTACAGGGGCCCAAGCACTTGGGCCATCCTCTGCTGTTTTCCCAGACACATTATGCGGGAGCTGGATGGTCAGTGGAGCAGCCGGGACCCGACTAGCACCCATAATAGATGCTGGCACTGCAGGCAGCGGCTTTACCTGCTATGCCACAGTGCCACCTTTGAAACTATTTCTTTAAGGATGTGGCACTTTGACTAGAACCTGGGGTGGTGCTGGTGTTGTGGGAAGCATGCTCATTTTTGGGTCTGACTGTGAGAGCAGGGTGGGTCGTGCTGGCGACCTATGCACATACCTGCTGTGGCTGAAGGCACAGTGGACAGGAGGGTTTGTCAATCAGGGCTTATCTCCTGGGAAGCCTCCACATCCCCTGTGCCCCACCTGGGGATGATGCAAACAGGCTCTGTGAAAGTGAAAAGTGGAGGTATGTGAGCACACAATCGGTGGGATACTACAGTTCGCAGGTATTCGCAAGATGTGTTCATTACCCACCCATAGGGACAATGTGCAACCAAAATGGTGCAGAAATCCAAGCTCCAAGGTAATCCACGTGTGCTCAGTGAGCATGACTGATGATTCACACTCCATGATGTGCATGATAACCAGACAGATACACTCAGTTCTGGTATTGAACAGGAGTGGTTCTGTAGAAATGGTACACTCAAAATCACTATGCAACATCCTGATGCTGCATGGACTGCCAAGACATACATCTACTAGTGTTGAAAACTTCTCCAAAAACCACTATTTGAGGGGAAATCCATTTTACTGAGCAGTAATAAAGATATTAAAATATTTATGGAGATATTGAACCAAGAACAGAGTATGTATAATCTATTGTTTAAATATTTCATTACTAAATTGGTTTCTGTTTCTTTGTTTTCTATGTCTGTCTTGAAATAGGTTAAAGCATGTCCCATCTTTCAGACAACCAGCGGTCAGGAGTTACTACTTTTCTTCCACACATAACAGCATTGTCAAGGTGCATATATGGGTTCTGATTATGAATACAATTTTTATGAATGGGATTAGGCATATGCCAGTATGTGTGACTACATTTAATAGTGAGTGTGTTTAAATATGAGTGTGTGATTGTATTTGGTGAGGAGATGAGTGTGATTTAAGTATACAAATGTGTGCAATTAAGTGAGTTCATATGTTTGTATTTGAGTGCATGTTGTGCACACATTTGCATTGTAGTATAAATATGTGTATTTGTATGTGTGTAGTAAAGTGTATCTATTCACCATCATGTCTCTAATCACTGACTTGGATATGGGATGTACAAGTTAGTGGGGAAGTGTCACTCCCTTGTACGCAAAGGAACGACACTTCTCCCAGCTGATCGGTCTTCAGTAGACTTTTATTTAAACAGGATAGAAAAGAAACCCCTGAGGAAGGGGAGCCCCGAAAGAAAGGGGAAGCTCCCGTTACTATTTCACGAACAGCTTATATAGTATATTATTGCAGAAGCATGTAATGCAAGCTTAGTCCATGCTACAGTCCATGCGGTGGTGCTCCAATAGGGTGCCTGATCACACACAGTCCATGCGCTCCTTGTCCAACCATAAAGGTGATCACATGTCTTCGTCCAATCAAGCTCCTGGTCACGTAGCAGGCAACTTGGGTGCTAACAACAAGCTTCCACCTGGTGTTTTCTCAGCCTTGGTCAGTGGGAAAAGAAGTACGGGAAGCCCCAAGGCCATAGTTGTTTTGACTCTAGCCTGGGGTTATGAAACGGTCCCCATATCACAGCTCAACAGAAACCATAAACATCCACACAGCAGTAACTAATGCCAATGGTCAGCAAGCCAGGCCTTAGCATGTGGGCCCATGGCCAGCTCATGGGTCCGCACAGGAAGGATCAAGCTGTATATGTTTTTTTACAGGGGGAAAAGATTAAGTTGAACTGAATTTTTATGTATCTTGATTAGTTAGAAAAGAAGTCAGTACACATTACTGAAAACTCAGCTATAGTTAGGTGTAGAAAAATGACTATTCAGCTGCCTTGACCTGAGGAAGTAACTGGTTTATCTGATGGTTAAAGGAATTCTAGAAACTGCTGGTTTATCTGTGCCTGGTGACTATTTGTAAAGGGCTTATATAACTTCCCTCTCGTGGATATTGTTCTCTTTAGATTCCTGTTGCTCAATATTGAGAAAGTATATTTTCTTAATAATTTTAAACATCATCTAGACCTCCCAATCCATTAGCATTGAATGGAGCAAAAAGAGTCCCATGGTTCCTATGTAAATTATTGTCATCGAGATCTTCTCCTTAATTGTACCCTGTGGAAGTCCTTGTCAAGGTGTTGATACTCATAACTTAAACGATGGGTTATCTCAGTGGTCTGAAAATTGGAAGGAACTGGGGAGAACTTCTCAGGAGATCAGAGAACCCAGTGAGCCTCAGGTGCTCCACCAGCAGCTGCTCAACTGCCAGGTAACAGGACATGCCGACTTCTGTGTCAGCCCCAGTCTCCCACCAGGGATCCAGGAAGAAGAAACAATCCCATCCAAGCACTCAAGCGGTCTCTTGAGAGATACTCACTTGGAATTCATGATTGTTTCTGGTGACTAGCATCAAACAAAACATTGTTGATGAATATTCTCTGCATCCCACACTTGCATTCTCATTGCTGCTATAGGAGAAATGATAATTGCAAATCTGAGGGGAAGGTGAGGTCATAGAATCACAGGAACATATCTCGGGGCCTGATTGCCTCTCTCCCACATGAAGCTGGCTATTGTGACCACCACACTCGGCGACTGTCCTCCCACTGAGGAGTCAGGTCAGTTTTCTGTTTTTGTCCTGCGAGGAAGGAAAACCGATTAACAGTGTGGGTAAATGATCACAAGGAGCAAAATTCTTCTGGGCTTGATTATAAAGTAAATTGAAGTGTGTCATAAAAATTAAAACAGGACAGGAAGGAAGAGGGAGGGAGGGTACAGTGGAAAGTATCACTATGCTTTTTTTTAAAAAAAGAGTTATTTATTTATTTGAAAGGCAGAGTTACAGGGGAGGCAGAGAGAGACAGAGAGAAAGGTCTTCCATCCACTGGTTTATTCCCCAAATGACCACAAAAGCCTGAACTGCACCAATCTGAAGACAGGAGCCAGGGAGCTTCTTCTGTGTCTCCCATGCAGGTGCAGAGACCCAAGCACTTGGGACATCTTCCACTGCTTTGCAAGGCCATAGCAGGGAGCTGAATCGGAAGTGGAGCAGGGGAACTTGAATCGGTGCCCACATGGGAAACAGAACTTTATAACAATGGGTGTGAGGACAACAGCTGTTAGGCTCAAATGTATCCTGTGATATTTCCCCTACTTTAAAATATTCTAATATTGATCTCAGACTCTATAATTTTCAATTTATAAAGTATTCACCAGTTCTGTTGTGCATGTGTCTATATTTAATATATTTCATAAGTGTTTCCCAATGGCTACCAATTACTTATTCAGGTGTTCATGGATAAGTATAGATTCGAAAATTAGAACTAACAATTTTTATCCTACACATGTTTTATCCCACATTAATGTTTAATGTCCCACAGTTAATATCCAATAATTTCTGTAATATATGCTATTTTATTCTTGGCATAAAAACTGAGTCTCTTATAGCCATTCTTTTTCTTTCTTTCTTTTTTTTTATTACTTTTTATTTTTTGTGACACGGAGAGTGGACAGTGAGAGCGAGAGAGCACGAGCATAAAGGTCTTCCTTGCCATTGGTTCACCCCCCCCAGTGGCCGCCGCAGCCAGCGCGCTGTGGCCGGTGCACCGTGCTGATCCGATGGCAGGAGCCAGGAGCAGGTGCTTTTCCTAGTCTCCCATGAGGTGCAGGGCCCAAGCACCTGGGCCATCCTCCACTGCATCCCTGGCCACAGCAGAGAGTCGGCCTGGAAGAGGGGCAACCGGGACAGAATCCGGCGCCCCGACCGAGACTAGAACCCAGTGTGCCGGGCGCGCTAGGCGGAGATTAGCTAGTGAGCCGCGGCGCCGGCCTCTATAGCCATGCTTTTCTGTTTGTTCAATTGGGGTTATTGATCATATTCCAGAACTCATTATATAAATCTTTTCAAAATAACAAGATACTACAAGAATAGTTTCTAAATTAGCTCTGGATGCACAAATACTTGACACAGGAAACCATTTTATAAATACATAAGTTTTATCATGAGAATACTAGAGAAAATAAGTCTCTGTGTCTTTACAGCCAATTTCATGCCATTTTTGGTATTCTACTACAGCGTGTTTGCCACATTAATAAAGCAAAAGACAATCCACTGCACTTCTCTTCTCCAATTCTACTGAGATGCACCACTGGTGAGGTTTTATGATTGATTTGATCGTTTTTCCTGGCTTGAAAGAATTCACATACTCAGGGCTAGAAGAGGTAATTTAAGCTTTCCTTCTTTACAGAAGCTGTATCAGGTTAATGCCCTGTGTTAGTGAAGGCAGGGTGGACCAGCTAACACTTTTGCCCTGCAGTATCATGCAGCCATTCTAATATCAGATGATTATGCATTCATGTGACTCCAGCTTCTCCTGTAGCCATTCATGCATTCATCTGTATTTTACTAAGAGCTCTAATGCTTTCTTCAGAATTGATAATGGTCTAAAATACATTAACAATCGCTACAACTATGATCATAAAACAAATGACCCCAATCTCAAAAAAGACAATGTCTGAAAATAACTAAATAAATATAAAATTAGTTAGAAAGCAGCTAACTAGCTTTGTTCTATAGCAATGATATTTAAATGCATGCCATTTTTTCAGTTGTACTTCCAGGTTCAAGTCATTACTTACCCCTGAACATGGTATGAACATTAACTCTTCTCTGCCTAGTGCTTCTCCCCTTTGAATTAATATTACGGTAGTACCAAACTCACAGGATAATGAAGAATATGGAATAGCTACAGGTGTATCCTCAGTGATTTGTAATTATAAGTATTCTTTAAAAGTTCTACCCCATATGTTCAATCTTGGCAGCCCCACTAATGAAAAAAAAAACACAATTATTTCGAAGTGGGAACTAGTGTAAATGGAGAATATTGAATTTAAGTTGACATGATACATGTAGCCCATGCCTCGCTTTTCTATACAGATTCCTCGGCTTTGAAAAAAACTTCCAGTCACTCAAACTTACAGAATGTTCTCCAGAGATTTTATAGTAGGAATGGTCTACTTATACAGACTGCTGTTGGAAATTCTGGGAAATTTCTATCTTCTCTACCATTATCTCTTCCTTTACCTCACTGGTATAGGGTATAGGTCACGGGTGTAATTTTCAGACACCTGCAATAGCCAACTCCTTGGTCATCCTCTCTAAAGGAGTGCTCCAAACGATGGCAGCTTTTGGGATGAATTTTTCCCTCAGTGATGTTGAGTGCAAACTTGTTTTCTATGTCCACAGAGTGGGCAGGGGTGTCTCCATCAACACCACCTCCCTTTGAGTGTCTTCCAGGTGATCATAATCAATCCCAGGAACTCCAGGTATGCAGAGTTTAAAGCAAAAGCTCTGAAGTACATGGACCTCTCCAATATCCTCTGCTGGATCCTGCACATGATGCTAAATATTATGGTGCCGATGAAAATGACTGGTCAATGGAGCAATAAAACATCACAAGGAGAGATTATGGATTTGTTATGCTGAAGATCATAACAATGTCATAGAATACTTACTGTATACAATTTTGTTATTATTTCCTGATGTTTTCTGCCTGGTGCTTATGTTGTGGGCCAGTAGCTCCATGATTTATCTTGCACAGGCACAGACAGCAGGTCCAACACATTCACAGGACCAGTGTTTCTTGCAAATCAGCTCCTGAGACCAGAGCCACTCAAAACACCCTCATTCTGGTGAGCACTTTTGTGTCTTTTTACACTCTTTCCTCTGTCTTTCATGGGTGTTTTGCTTTCTTAAATAAGCCAAATTTTGGCTGGTGAAGGCCTCTACACTCATTGCTGCATGTTTCCCAATGGTCAGCCACTTTATCCTCATGAGCCAGGACTCCAGTGCATCTAGGTTCTCCCTTGCCTGGATAAGGAATTAAAATTACCCAAACTTAAGAGAAAATTTAAATTGTGTGTATCTGCATATTCTACGTGTGTTATTCATAGTGCCCTCAGTAGAGAAATGTGGAGTCTATATAATAATAAAACAAGATGTGTTAAAGCAATCTACAGATGTTGAGAAGATTCACTTGATAAGACATTGAGTTACATGCTGGGGGCTGACACTGTGGCATAGCAGGTTGAACTGCCACCTGTAGGGCAACCAGTTCAAGTCCTGTCTCTGTGATGTAGCAGGTTAAGCCATTGCCTTGAGCACAGGCATCCCTCATGGGTGCTGGTTGAGTTCCTGCCACTCCACTTCTGATTCAGCTCCCTGCTAATGCACCCGGGAAGGCAACAGAGGATGGCCCAAGTGCTTGGGCCCCTGTACCCATGTGGGAGACCCAGATGAAGCTCCTGGCTCCTGGTCTGAGCCTGGCCAAGCCCTGGCCATTTTGGCCATTGGGGAGTGAACCAGCAGATGGAAGATCTCTCTGCCTCTCCTCTCCCTCCTGTAACTCTGCCTTTCAAATAAATAATCAATCAATCTTGAAAAATTACATTCCCTCCTTCTCTTCCCCTCACACCTTTCTTCTTTCTCCCTTTCTTTTTAGTTTTGAAATATTTTAAAATAAAATTACAGTAAAAAGGCTTAATTCACAGAATAAGTTTAACAAGTTTAGTTTAACAAGAATAAGTTTAATAGCTTAGTGGGAATACAGACAATGGCTATAAACAACAACTGAATGGAAAATGATCATTTCACCCATATGCAGTAAATTTTTTTGTGAGAGGTAAAGTTACAGAAAGAGAAAGGAAGAGAGAGAGAGAGAGGTTTTTTATCCATTTCCAAAATGGCTGCAATGGCTGGAGCTGGGTTGATCCAAAGCCAGGACCCAGGAAATTCTTCTGGGTCTTTCATGTAGGTGCAGGGGCCCACTTACCTGGGCCATCTTCCACTGCTTTCCCAGGCATATTAGCAGGGAGCTGGATTGGAAGTGGAGTAGCCAGGACTCCAATCCATAGAAGTCCAAGCACAGGTCAAACAGCTCTATCATGTTCAATAGTCCCAGATCTGGAGTCTGACCACTGAACAGAGCAATCCTGTCTGCTCTCAGTTCTGGGTGGCGGAGACCAAGGTGAGGCTTCCAGACCAGCCTAGTTTTAACTATTAGGATACAGTTTAGCTGAACCATCAGTGAACCAAGGACATGAATTCTGGGGACTCTTGGAGAATTGAGGGCCTCATATAGCTGGCAGCTTTGCTTCATACAGCATAATGGACCACCAAAGTCACAACCAACAGAGAAGAGTTTTAACTTACTCTTGCTGAGCCAAGATTTGCTTCAGCTAGCCAGCATTCATTCTTAAATATGTGATTTCTACTTGGCAAACAAGACTTTTGGGGCCCTTGTTTCTTGCTAGCTGTGGAGCCCAGGGTGACCATATCAGAATGGGAAAGTCAGACTGGACAGCCCCCAGGCCTGTATGGGTCAGACATCATTTTCAAAAGTACCTCAG